TTACATAAATATTGCACAATCTTGCCTGGGGCAGAGTAAGTTTTGATCGTGACTCATATCATCAACTTGACTCCTGATTCCTCAGTGAACGCAGACTTAGGTTGTTCTCTCTCAGGACTGAACGGTTCTGCGCACATTAGAGAGGCTTGGAACAAACACCACAGAGTAACAGTTAACACATGCAGAGGTTCAGCTAACAGCACAATAACATCACCTGCTTTCCTGGGTTTGTGCTCTGTTTCAATAGGTCAACATCAATACTTGTCATTTAAAATCATTTTATAATTATTTGTTTTGAAGCAAAATGATTGCACTGATCTTCGATTCATAATTATAAATGAAAAGCAGCAGTTTATGCATTTATACAGTTCAGGTTAATTAAACATGGGGCAGCTGCTCTTGGTCTCCAGGGTCTGATCTCTGCTGCAGGCGGTGGGTCGTAAACACCGGGTCTCTCTCGGCCTTCCTGATCTCAGTGGATAAAATGACGGGTGCAGAGGAGAACAAACAAATGAGCTGGAGAGCTTCTCAACAGAGCTGTTTGCTTTTCCTTATTGCTGTGGAAAACATATTTTTCATCTAATTAATATTTGGCTTTCAGGTTATTTTTTCACGTCTCAGACTAAGCAGTGATGATCAGTAGATCTGGAGCTCTTTGTTCAGTGCTGTAGAGTCACTTTGGGTTGCTCAGATTTGGGTGGGTTATGAGGACAGGATCGCAGGCGATCATACTCGGGATTTCTTGAGGTGTGTTGGTCGGGATGGCTGTGGTGGAGATGGGCGAAGCTCTTGGATTGGAGGCTCTGCGGGGACAGAGCGCTGATGCTCTACAGCCGGTTTCCAGAACGATAAAATGACGGGTGCAGAGGAGAAAAAACAAATGAGCTGGAGAGCTTCTCAACAGAGCTGTTTGCTTTTCCTTATTGCTGTGGAAAACATATTTTTCATCTAATATTTGGCTTTCAGGTTATTTTTTCACGTCTCAGACTAAGCAGTGATGATCAGTAGATCTGGAGCTCTTTGTTCAGTGCTGTAGAGTCACTTTGGGTTGCTCAGATTTGGGTGGGTTATGAGGACAGGAGCGCAGGCGATCATACTCGGGATTTCTTGAGGTGTGTTGGTCGGGATGGCTGTGGTGGAGATGGGCGAAGCTCTTGGATTGGAGGCTCTGCGGGGACAGAGCGCTGATGCTCTACAGCCGGTTTCCAGAACGGTGCGGGTGTTCATCAGCTCCACACACTCAGGTAAGGCTTGCACTGCTTGTTTAGTCCCCTTACCTTTGCATTTTGCTGAAAAAAAGTTTTGCTCTGTATTTCAAGGTCATGGAAAACCTGGAAATAGGGAATTTTGAATTGAATTGAAATTTAATTGAAATTAACAATCTTAAAAAAAAAAAAGTAATGGTGATTTCTATAGTGTGATTTTCTAGTTGTGCTCGGTTCTAAAATGTTTATTTTCAATTTGTGTGCAGCCTCTATAAAATACTACAAAAAAATGTTTATCCAGTAATAATAAATGATGGGGAAAGTCATGAAAATGCATTAGTGTGGAATATATGTAACCCTAATCTGCGATGTTTCTACATTTATTTTTATTTAGTGGAGGAAGGCAGAATTAGGGTCACACTTCAGTTTTAGGAAAAATTTGCACTATGAACTATGACTTTTGCATCGGTAAATTCTTAATTTGCTTCTTATTAATAGTAAAGTAGTTTAGGTGTTGGGTAGGATTAAGGGATCTAAAATATGGTCATGCAGAAAAATGCATTAATATTGCTTTATTAGTACTAATAAACAGCCAGCATGCTAGTAATATGCATGTTAATAAGCAACTAGTTAAAAGTGAGAATTGGTCAGTAAAATAAAGTGTTACTAGAATTAGTGTTTGTACTAATGTTGAAGTCCCGATTAATCGAGGTGGTAGGTATTTCAGGTATTTTCTATAATGATGCAAAACCATACAAATGACTGCTGTATAGACAATCAGTTTCCAACATAGTGCTCTTGGTTTTGAAATAAGCATAATCGTGTAATAAGCAATTTAATATATATTAATAAATATCACAAAATGAACTCCTTAAGGACCTGACATTAATACATTTCTTTTTTTTTTTGACAGATATGAAGAATGAGAGGAATGTATTTTGGGAGAAGGCCTATTCGGAGTTGCAGGCCCACTGTCAAAGTTTGGGTCTCGTCTTTGAGGTTTGTGCTGAAAATATATTTGCAGTCTAGTTTAATCCTGGTGGCAAATGTAAAAACTGTCTAAAATTGCATTACATTTTTATTTATTGGGCATATCCACTGTTCAAAAAGCAGGGGTTTTATTTTCTATTGTTGATTTTGTTGGGTTTTTCTCGCAGGTAGTGGATTTCAGATGCGGAGTGCATGACATCTTCACAGCTGATCACTTGACAACTGAACTGTGCATTAAAGAAATCGAGTCCTGTCAGAGAATATCAGATGGCCCAACTTTTATTGTATGTTTCACCAGCAACCTAATTTTATCCATGCATATCTTTTGGCCATCACACTTGTGCTGGTTCTCTGAGCATAAGTGTAATACTGTATCTATGTTTATCTTCTCAGGCTCTGCTCGGTAATCAGTACGGCCATCGCTCCATCCCACGCCTCATACCAGAGACGGAGTTTGAGTTGCTGGTATCAAAACTTCCCAAAGATTCAGAGAGCTTAAAGCTCCTAAACCAATGGTTCTCCAAAGACAGTAACTCAGTCCCACCCACATATATCCTCCAGCCAATCACAGCTCACTATCCTCATTACAATGACAGGGGCTCTGAGAGCGGACAGTTGCGTGATGATGATGTCATATCCTGGAATCTGACCGAATCACGACTGCTGCAGGCTCTCCGCACTGCTGCCCAACAGGCCGAGAGAGAAGGGGATATCAGTGTTGACGAAAAGCACAAGTTTTTCAAATCTGGTGAGAGATTGTGAAACTTTCCATGAATATGGTGCAAAATAAGGGACAAATATTTTTTTGTCATTCCAAACCTGTATGACTTTGATTTACTTTTTTTTTTTTTTTTTTTTTTCCTAAACAAATGGGACGTGAGCCAAAAAAAAAAAAAAATCTAATTGCACTTCAAATAAATTTTTCCCAAAGATGGTTTCTGTCATTCAGGTAGTTCTAATGACGCTGATGCATGTTCAGATGTTGTTGTTTTTTCCCCTTATAAGTTTGGTTTTAGTTTATTTATTGCTATAAAAACTGTGTGTGGGGCCATAATTGTGTGCTTGTAAATGAGTCTGCAGGAGTTTGGACGGGACTTTAAAACCGCGGCTCCACCTGATCACTACTGCACAGGGGTGCGTTTCCCAAAAGCATAGTTAGCTAGCTATGGTAGTTAGTTCCATTGAAATCTATTGGTAACGACGGAACTTGCGACCATAGTTGCTTTTGGGAAACGCACCCCAGAACAGTGATTGGTGTAATGCATTTCTAAGTAATTAATTACTGCAATTTAATTACTTTTCACTTGAAAAAGTAAAGTAGGGGATTACTCGTAATTTTTCTGTAATTTAATTGCAATTACATTAAAAACTGTATAAACCATGGAGCGATTCTATATAAAAGCAATAGTGGATTTAACATCTAATGTTAAAATGTATGTTTTTAATGTAACCTTCTCCCTTTAAATACTTTGGTCAATTCAAGAATAATTTATGCAGTTTTATTTATTTATTTTAAATAATTAAAAGAGTAGTTTCATGTCTATCCTTGT